CATTAGGTTTTTCTACTTAACCATATTTTCAAAAAATCCGAGAACTAACAAATTAAATTGGTGTGGCCTTAGCGTGTCTCCAGCAACTGAAGGTTAGGGCATCTCCTAGTCGATCGGGTCGGACAGCCATGCGGGTGACGACCGTGAACCAGCGGCGAAATGTCACCCGAAAGGTGGGGAAGGTTCAAAGTTCCATCAGACTGCCCGGTCGGGCCCCGGTTTGGAAATGTGACCTCAGCATAAGCCATGGTCCCCTGTAGTAATTGTCTGACACTGTTGCCAAGAAGCGTGCTTGATGCCGGCTTTGGTAAGAAACCTATAGGATTGTATGCACCAACCAGGTCCTCCGACTTGAGGGGAAGGTTCAAAGTTCCATCACACTGCCCGGTCGGGCCCCCGGTTTGGAAATGTGACCTCAGCATAAGCCATGGTTTGCTGTGGTAATTGTCTGACACTTGCCAAGAAGCGTGCTTGATGCCGGCTTTGGTACGGAAATTATAGGATTGAATGCACCAACCAGGTCCTCCGTCTTTGCTTTAAAAAATCCGAGAACCAACAGATAAAATTGGTGTGGCCTTAGCGTGTCTCCAGACGCTGAAGGTTAGGCCATCTCCTAGTCGATCGGGTCGGACAGCCATGCGGGTGACGACCGTGAACCAGCGGCGAAATGTCACCCAAAGGTAGCTGAGGGATTGCGTGAGAAAAATGAATTATCCTACTTTTTAGGAATAGTCTGGGAGATTTATGGTCTATTTTTACACACTGATTGTGGCGGAAATGTGCACAGTGTTAAGAAGGATGAGACTTGGTCCTGGAATACTTCCTACTGCAGTCCTGGCGTGTCGTTACTAAGACTGTAGACTTTGAAGACGAGAATCAGTAAAAGAGTTATCAACCAAGAATTGAAGTGTTCAAAAACTCGTATTCACCAAGAACTACCGTATAGTGGAACTCGTTGCCACCAAGCACAGTTGGGACATCATCACTAGAAAGCTTTAAACAACTGCTGCAATTAAACGTGTAAAGAGTGAGTGTAACAAGTCGTTTGGTGTGGCATAGCTAGTTGCTGCCGCGCCGCGTGCCTGCGAAGCTGGTGTGTTACGCAGAATGGCAGTTATACCGGCTATACCAATACAGATACAGATGTACCACTTAGTTGCAATACAAGGCCAATGGGACATTTTTTCTGTACGAAATGTACACAGTTGTGTAACAATGACACATTCCCGACAACTTTTGGGGAAGTCATTTACTAGTATTCTTTTTTATGTGCAGTATTTTGTACACATCTTGAAAATGGAATCAAACTGCCTGACCCTAAAGCGACCCCATCCCTTGCCCAGGCTATAGCCCCGTTCTTGCTCAGGGTAATGACAACTCGGCCAGCACTGGCCCTTTGATTAGCTATTTCCTGCCGAGTGTCCGGAGAGCCGTTGGTCATTTGGCTTTATCGTGCACCTAGTTCCCCTGGACTCTCTTTCGAACACGCCAAGAATTGATTAAATGATATAACTCTACAAGATAGCCCCATATATCTACTCCAGGCGATTTTTCTGCCACGTGAGCTTCAAAAGTCATCTTACATGTGCATGCCCGATGCTTATATGGATATGTATCATTCGTAGGTGTTCCCAAGGAGCTTATTGGTGTTCCTGATAATTTATTTTATGTTGACGGCAGCGAAAGTTCATGGTCTGAGAAAAATGGACATGTTCACGGAACTATATGTTCACGGTGGCAACAGGTGCAGGAAAAGGAAAGTCCAGGAATTATTTGTTAACTGTAATGATAAGTTAGTTCATGGTACTAAAGTGACAGTTAAAGCAGTGAACATAGCAGTACATTGAAAAAATCAGGAATTACAGTATGCGATTCACTGGACTCTAAAATGCATATATCAAAGCAGTAAATACAGCTTCTCTGCATCCACACACACTTTGCCACAAGCAAATAAGTTTCAGTTGGTAATGGAAGTTTAAAAAGCTCTTCGGTAAAACAGCCAGAAATGATTTATTCCTTATACTTGCACCCCTCAGACTAACAAAAAGTAGAAAAGATAGTTTCCTTAAGTCATAAAGCATCTGTTTGTCTCTGCTCTATTTTTGGTTTTAGCCTGCACTCCATCTATCCCCTGGGAAATCCAAGAAAGTTCCAGAAATCGATATGAACAATTTTTGTTTGGCTCCTTGACAGATCAAGCGTTGTTTCTCGCAAGAAGCTATCAAAATGACCGGCGGCCACCAGACGACGTGGCGCTTTCCTGAGCAGACCATAGTCGTGTGACGCCGGTTAGAAACCCTTTCCCATGCTGTATGTACTCTCCTGCCGTTAAACTGAATGGCTTCCGCCGGAATATGTAGGATAATCAAGCGGGATGAAGGGAGTTAGAGTGTGCCTATCCCATGCTCAAGAAATTGATCTCGCCAGGTCCTTAGCCCTCGAGTGAGGAGTAGAGAATGTGTGAGTAGATCCGAATCAATGGACGAAATAGGTTCTGATACACTCATATATCCTGCCCGTATATTTCCGTATTCTTAATTTTCTGTGTCTAGATTCCGTCGCATTCACTCGTATATACTCGTATTCGATATACACGTATACTATTATTTGATACACTCATATCTGTAAAGAATGCGGAAAAGATACGGGGCGGGATATGAGTGTATCCGAACATATTTCGTCCAGTGCAAACGTCATGCAAATTTAATGAGGCTTCATCATGCGGAAGCCGTTCGCACACCACGTACTCCTACAGGTCCGGGAAGTGATCATGTCATGATGACGTCGTTACCGGAAATACTACGTCATCTCTCCGCGAGCCTACTTACCTGTTGGCCACCTGATCACGTCATCACTCGTTTCGCGCGCGCTGCCGCACTCCGCGCCGTGCTTGGAGAGGTGAGGTCTCTAGCTGAGGCCGACCACCTGGATGATTTGATTGCCTGCGATAATTCTTTTTGTGACGGAAACCGCAGAATAAGGTACGGGTTTCGCTGTGGATGTGCGTTGCCGTAGTGTGTATTTTTTATCCGTTTCGCGGATTCAGAAATGACTTCACTGCTGTTGCGTAGAACATGGAAAATTCTAGGCGCTATACGGATTCTTTTTCGTATCTTTCTTAAAGAAGACGGTGTATTTTCTTGACAAGGCTTGTGGATGATTTGAGTGCCTACGATAATTCTTTTGTGACGGAAACCGCAAGAATAAGGTACGGGTTTACGTCGGTGAAGGTTAGACACCCAGGTAATACGCTACGCCGAAAAGCAGTTACTCAAGCAACTGGATATAGATTTTGGAAACGTCAGACGTTTTCAGCTAGTATCCACTAGCTTTCGTGAATCATGAAACGTCTGATCGTTTCCAAAATCATATCCAGTTGCTTAAGTAACTGTTTTTTTGGCGTAAGATAATGTACGGGTTTCACTGTGGATGTGCGTCGCCGTAGTGTGTATTTTTCATCTGTTTCGCGGATTCAGAAATTAGTTCACTGCTTTTGCGTAGAACATGGTGGAAAATTTGAGTATGCGGATTCTTTTTGTGAAGAAAACCGCAAAATAAGGTACGAGTTTCACTGTGGCTGTATGTAATGCGTATTCTTCGTCTCTTTCGCGGATTCTCGTACAGAGAAATTAGTTCACTGCTGTTGCGTAGAACATGGTGGAAAATTTGAGCCGCTATGCGGATTCTTGTTCTTGCCTTTCTTAAAGAAGATGGTGTATTTCTTGAGAAGGCTTTCGCTTGGGTTGCGCTTGTTTAGCTAGCTTAAGCTGTAAGCACTGTTACATACCGCTTACAATTGGTCATCTATTCGATGTTACAGTGTGACTTCTTTTTCATCTTTCTCAAAGCAGTTGACGTGGTTTTGATGTAAGGGGCAATTATTGGACTCTCCCCAAATCTGTGTCCGTCAGGTGTGGTTCACACGGGTATGCTAAGTGTTGCCCAGCGTCATTTTCTTCTCCCTTACAAGCTGTAGCATAGGCTCGGTCTAATGAAAATGGAACACAGTGGGTTGCCAAGAACGGGTTGATGAGATATCACAAAGGCTGCATTTTCTGTCGCTAAAGGCACCCCGCGGGAGTTGATTGTATCAAACAGTTGTGTGACATCTTTCTTCTTTAATTAGGACGACATACCTAGATTGACGTCGCTCATGTCACTCGCGTTTCTGTTGTACATTAGCTGGGATACCGAAGCTCAAAAATGGGTCGTCTGTAAAGAACTGCTGCGTAATGACTTTTGCGACTGTCTCAAGGCAGTGTGCCAGGTTCCATGTACGGAAGGCGCAGCGGGCTACGGGGAACTCACTCTCAGTAAGCTTGTGTTTTTTTTATCAGATTCTGCATTGGTTGATTGTACAGAATCGTTGTTTGACGACGTTCTGCTAGTTTTCAATTGTTGCCGAGTACCTTTATGTACTATGTGCCGGCTGTACCACTGTTTGACTTTGTGTCTTCCTGGGTCGGTTGTACAGATCCGTTGTTTGATGCTGACTCTGGTGACGTGTCTTTTTCAAGGTGCTGAAGAGTGCCTACATGGGTCTGTTGTACACACAGCGTTTGCCTTTGTGTCTGCCTGGATCGGTTCTCGGTTGTACAGAACCGTTGTTCGACTTTGTTTGACACTGTTTCTGATGTTGTGTATTTCTGTACAGGTGCTGAAGAGTCTCTGTATGGGTCGGCTGTACAGAACCGCTGTGGTGACGGTACTTCTGACTAGGTCGGTAGTAAAGAACCGTAGTTCCTGACGTTGTATTTGGTGTTTTTGTACAGGTGCTGAAGAGTTTCTGCAAAGGTCGGTTGTACAGAACCGTTGTCTGTATAGGTTGGTTGTTTCCTGACGTTGTATCTGGTGTTTTTTGTACAGGTGCTGAAGAGTTTCTGCATGGGTCGGCTGTACAGAACCGCTGTGGTGACGGTGCTTCTGCTGTCTGTTGTACAGAATCGTTGTCTGTCTGGGTCGGTTGTTTACTGACGTTGTATCTGGTGTTTTTTGTACAGGTGCTGAAGAGTCTCTGCATGGGTCGGTTGTACAGAACCGCTGTGGTGACGGTGCTTCTGCTGTCGGTGCTGTCCCCGACGTGCCAGGTGTTCGGCGTGAAGCTGTACAAAACCGTTGTATCAGTCTGGGTCGGTTGTTCATGATATTCTATCTTCTGTTGTAACTGCAGGTGCTGAAGAGTTTCTGCATGGGTCGGCTGTACAGAACCGCTGTGGTGACGGTGCTTCTGCTGTCGGTGCTGTCCCCGACGTGCCAGGTGTTCGGCGTGAAGCTGTGCGGGAGGGCGTTCCTGCGGGCCACGTTCCTGGTCTGCGGGATGCACAAACGCTCCGGACACGACGCCACCAGACAACAAGACTTCTCAGGTAAAATATAACGATGGATACGTCTAGTACATAAATATCTACTACAGAGTTAAGTAGCAGAAAGCCCGAAGATGTTGAACCTGTTTCAAACAATTTTAGCATAAGTTTTAATTCTACTAAATTTATAAATTAAAAACAGGGCAGAAAGCAGGTCGACTTCTCAGGTAAAACACAACAGTAGTTCAGTCTATACTCAATATCTATGGTAATATTAGGTAGCACAAACGCTCAGGTAAAATCATTTCATTCGATCGGTCTAAATATATATCTACGGTAAGATTAAGTGGCAAAAACTAATAATCACTTCCTGCGGGCCACGTTCCTGGTCTGTGGGATGCACGCTCCGGACACGACGCCACCAGACAACAAGACTTCTCAGGCAAAACATTACAGTGCACTGGCGAGGTCTTTCCTGCATTGAGTCGTCCCTACTTGTTACTAACACACTAAATTCACTAGTCGTGTGTTTTAAACCCACAGGATCAGATCCTTAGTGCACTTACCTTTATTTCTCTTTGTCTTATTTCTACCGGTCACTTGTTTTGTAACTAGCACACGCGCAGCTGCCAATGATCCAATTGCTATTCGATTAAGCAGTATGTATGATGATGATTCGTCTATATACAATATCTACGGTAGCGAGGTTGAACCTGCTTCAACTACATAAGAAGATTTTGGAAATAATTTAAATTCATGCTAAACATGACAGCAAGCACGCTGCACTCTCGGGTAAGGTTTGCAGAATGTACAGTTGTTGGCTTTAGCTTCATTAGATTGATACATACCTACATATATATATGTCAATGAAGAAGAAAATCATAACGAAACCAAATGAAACATTGATTTCTTAAACAGCTTTTCTGTTAGTCTACCCAAAGAGCTATCGTAAGATTGAGCCCGAAGATGCCAGACATACTGGGGCAAAGACCTCCAGTAGACGGTTTTGAAAAAGACAGTTTTGAACTTTGCTGCCATCAGATATCAGACAAGCAAACGTCTCTGTTCGACAGCCAGACTCTCGCGCTGCGATTGAAGCGTAGAAATTGGGATCAAAGATGTCAGACACACTTACTTCCATTGATCCTCGATTGTATATTTCATATTTCAACTTTCATGTCTTTGGGATGCTACTGAAGTCTGTGCCTTCAGACAGCCCGTCTTCACTGATGTAGCCAGAGAAAATACAAGCTCCAAGATAAGAATGTAGTTTATTATTACATCTTTCACAAAGGCCATACCAATTTAATTTGTTGCTTCTCGGAATTGGCATCTTCATTTTTTTTCTGATTTGCAAAAAAAAAGGAATCTGGTTCAGAATTAACTCAAATATGATCATATTTGAGCTCAAAATTTTCCCCCAACATTGGAGGAAAGTCCTTTTCTTCCTAATTGCTTGTTACACTTTTTCCATATATCAATGTGCAGTGATTTCATTAAAAGTTCAAAATTTATGGTTAAAATATTGACCCAGCTTTTTGTGTTGACTTCATGGCTCCTATCGTAAAATTTGGGGCTATAGTAGGATGCCTACACATGTTTTAATTTTTTTTTTTTTGTCCCTGTCGCTAAATATTTTTTTCTGAAAAATCCGAGAACCAACAAATTAAAATAATGTGGCCTAACAGTGTAATAAAATCGTCTGATTGATAAAAAGTTCGCTACTTTCCTTCCCATAGATAGAAATTGAGCCTGGGTAAAGTTGACGTCTGCATGTCAGGATATCTGCTGGGATTTTATGTGGGGCAAAAGCCGGAAAGAGAGGCAGCAGACAGACTCGTGTCTCCAGCAAGTCTGCTGATAACTGTCAACGTTTCTAACTTTTGATCATCCTGCAAAGATGTTCACGGAGAGTGGCAGTCTGCGTTGGGTTTTGGCCGGTCGGTGACCTTTATATGATATAATATGAATCGTTATTGCATGTTCTTGCCCAGATGGGCTAAATGCACAAGAGGATGTCCAGTATGTATAACATGAGTATTTCATACTGGTACGCTATATTCTAATGCAAAAGTGCTAGGAATCTATACATTACAATAATACTATAAACTACCTATCATCTACTGTTAGTTGCCCTTTCTTCTCTCTTTTTGAAACATTTGGAAACATAATTACATAATTTGTCTACTGTACATTCGTTCTTATATGACATCAAGTGTTTAAACATGCCCTGCTTTGAATAAAGCAAAGCAAAGCAAAGCAAAGCTTTTCTTGACGTTTGCATTAAAGGCATCCAGTGCAGGGTTTGGAAACCCGATTTTTCAAAGCCAATATTCTAGTCATTCATCTAGCTACATAGTGAGTTGAAACCACACTGCCCCAATGTATATTGACCCTCATGGAGCAAAAATACACAAAATTCTGACGGAAATGGTTACTGGAAGGTCCCTTGGCTGATTTGTAGAGTACTACCCAGAAAATAAAGGACTAACCTTGGAGCTTGTTTCTGCAATTTTAAAAGCCCAAAGTATGAAATGCTGACTCAAATGTGCTAATGTGAAGCAGTATGTGTCAATATCACAACATTGTCTTATTCAGAATTTTGACAATTTTGCTGCCCTGAAATCACATTGGATACTAAGGAGTTGATTTTATTGCTTCCGTCAGAAAAAAACATAGTTACAGAAGATTGATTGTGAAAAGTATGGATAGAGGGTTTCAGAAAGATTTAAAACGCCATAACTGTACACAGAAGTAAAGTGCTCGCCAACAAGCTTTCGGCCAGTCCTCTGACCCTTTTCAAGTTGAAATGATACGAAGCCTAAGGATAGAAGATGTTGCGAGAGAAACTTCTCAGAGGAGGCTCCAGGGATGTATATTCCATCTTAAGTTGTTCATTCCTTTAAGGGGAGAAAGTGAAGACAGGAAGGAGACATTTTATCCTTCCCCAGCGTAAAGTCTGCATTGCCTAGATATTCTATAAATCACATTAATCATATATATCGGTAGCTTATTCTCAATTTTCTATTTCTGTATATTTGGGTAGATTTTCAACTCTCTCTTCTGAAATAAATGAGTATCTGGATTCCAGTGGTGAACAACTTTTTAAAGCCATTTAAGCATTAACACGAGAGGACGTCTTTCTATTCATTACTCCTTCAATACATGTCGTCTATTTTTCCCCCGTCTTGTTGCTTGAATTATAATCATGGACAATTTTCAGATTTTCCTGTCTTTGCACGCTGGGATCGGCAAATGCATGGTATTATTCACTCTTAGGGTTCTTCTACTAAATATATAATAGGTAATGCATCCCCATGTAATTTAATCACAGGATCACTCATCTAACGGCGTACTCTTTGTCACTCTATATGGTGTAGCAGATCGATTAGAATGGTTGAAATGTTTTGTTACAGCTCGAAACCTTAGCTGGCATGTGATATTCCTTTTTGCTTATATTTTCCTGTCCTATGATATAGACACGCGTAATCTGCGATATTCGTCTTGACACATGCAATAGCGTCTGCCGCTTCATCCATCCATTCTTCAACTTCGCAGCTTCAGGTATTACTGTGGTGCTGTGATCCGTTTTGACACGTGGTATAAATGAACTTGTAAATCGCTGCAAAAGGCAATATTATTCCATAGAAGTTACTACAGTTAAGACTGAATGCCAGTCTAATGTTTATATCTCTCAAGCTTTAAAGATACATTCTAGAAAGCTATCATCTCCCTCTTTTTGTACCCAGCCATCTCGGCAAAAAGCAATTCTATACCATAGAAGTTTCTACAGTTAAGACTGAACACCAGTCTAATGCTTTTATCTCTCAAGCTTTAAAGATACAATCCAGAAAGCTATCTCCTTCTTTTTACCCAGCCATTTCATGTTAGTTCTACAAGCGGTATAATGTACTTGTAAATCGCGACAAGCAATTCTATACCATAGATACTACATATAGTTACTACAGTTAAGACTGAATGGCAGCCTAACGTTCTAACTATCTCTCAAGCTTTAAAGATACATTCCAGAGCGCTATCATTTCCCTCTTTTTGTACCCATCCATTTCATGTTAGTTCTACGCTAGGTATAATAAACATGTAAGTCGCGACAAAAAGCAATTCTATACCATTGATACTACATATAGTTACTAAAGTTAAGACTGAATGGCAGTCTAACGTTCTATCTCTCAAGCTTTAAAGATACACTCCAAAAAGCTATCTCCTTCTTTGTACCCAGCCATTTCTTGTCGGTTCTACGCGCCTCATTCAGCACTTAATGTGATACGAAACGTCCACAGAGACTGCCTGTTCCGTACGACGTACACAAACCCGCCTTTTGATGAACCTAATAGCGGCAGCCATTAAACATGTACGCACGTTTTACCACTCAATTTGCTGGCAATGCCAGAGGGTCCCGTAAAGAACGTCAGCTGAAAAAATACTCCGCGCGGATTTTACGACGGTTGTAAAACACAGACGTGGCCGTAAAAGTTTCTCACCGTGGACGGGCTTGACGCCGTGTCGAAACATCGTCCTTTGATCTTCTGGTATCACCCGGGTATCGGCAGGGTTGTAAAACGTATGCCGTTGAACGTTACGTGTTATTAAGCTAATGTCACGGTGTCTCCCAGGCGCAGTATTAGTGAGAACGGCGGAGTGAGGAACGCGTTCGTGACACAGAGGTCAGGTCTTGATGTTCTGACCTCATAGACCGGGCAGCTCAGCCCATCTGTCCGAGATGGAAGAGCGGAGCAACAAGCATTGATCTTGAACTTGGAGGAAACTCGAAATGACTTCATACGTGGAGAGAACTCCATCTTCATTACATGTCTTCCATATATAGTTCCTAACTATAAAGTATACAATACATACACCGGAATAATTATGCCAGCCCATACAGTTAGAGTAAGCCCTGTATGTTCAAATATTCATCTTAACACCAATTTGTATCTATCGGAGATGGATCTTAGTTGAATCTTAGATGGATGATAGTTCTTAACTATCAAGGATGCAGGATGTTCTGACTGTATGCCAACCCATACAGTTAGAATAAGCTTTGTATG